TTTCTTCAGCCTACTTCACAATACGAACTTCAACAGTCGAAAATCTAGAAAGTCAAAAAGTTTTGTCCGATCTTTAAACAACGTTGGAAATCGATCGTAGAAACTGCGAGTCGATTAAAAAATGAGTTATTACTCTAATGAAATGACTCGCGATAGTGTTTGAACAGGTGGTTCAGAAAATTTTTGTGAATGTTTTCTTATCCGAACTGTCTAATATATTCATTATAGAAAACATTTCTATAAGCATCCAAAATGCTATTGTGAGGCATTATACATATACTGTCTGTACGTGTTGCTTGCTTCTACTATGTGGTTCCCAACGAAGGTCGAATGCCATCCACCATTCAGCAACCAATCTCTTCATCCTCCTCTATCTTTCCGGATTCCATCTCTCCATCCTGTGTCTCCCTCCACTTGATTTGCAATTCACGGAGCATGCTTGGAACAACAATCGAATGCGGAAAAATTCTTGACAAGGACGCGAATGTCAAGGATACCTAATGCATACATCGCTATCGCACTTGACTTAAAAGCATTACAATGGGCCATCACCGCCGTTAAATCGTCAGAGGTAAGTTTTTCAATCGGCAGCAGTCTATCTTTTACCAATGAAATCGTCTCACATTTTTACGAAACGGATGACCACAAGTATTTGTTATCTCTCCTTTGTTACTCGACCACACAACTATGTTCAAGTACGCCAATCGTGGACAGAATTTCCTACAGTGGTCAGAATAAAAACCGCGAAACTAAGGAGAAAACGATGTATTTGATCCGATACCTCTCTGTTGCTAGAAAATTGCCTGATTATCTTTGATATCCTGATTCAATTCCAATTACTCGAGATTGTTGCATTTGTCAGATTCTTGATTGATGCATTGATAATTAAGAGGTAGACGTTAGTTTTCTTAACAAGCTGGATGAAATACTATAGACAATTTAAATATTGCGGGTAATGTAATAAAACTGTAGTGAAAGATATGGTGAATATATCTACTAATAGAGCATTGGCTTACAGTCGTAGTCAGTTTGTATAATAACATATTTATGTATATCATTCAAGGCAATTAGAAAATTATTATTCCGCGCTCACTTTGAACTTTTATCCCGTTTAAAACCAAATTTTTTTCTTACATTGTGAGAAAGTTTTATTAATTATTAATAGCAGAAACATGTATGTTTTCAAATAATTCTGTAATACATAATATATCCTAAATTTACCGGTCAATCCTGTCCGGAGGATGCATTTATTGTTCACTTATTAAATTTTTCACGTGTATGCAGCACCGAGCAGGAAAGGGTTATACATACCCATTATGCTCGTACATTTTGTTTCGATAATAAAAGTCAATCTCCATTACGGTATCTATCATCTAAATAATACGTCAATCTATTAATCTAACCTGGCATCTATATAAATCTTCACTTCTATTTGCCTGGTTAGTGCAACAGAACGTTTCATAGCAGCGATTCTCTAATTATTTTGGACAATGTATCTAACATTCAACAACAAGGATTATCTGTTTTCATTTATCAACACCAAATTCAAAGCGAAATGATGAACTTTAATAGTTACGTAATATCCATGACCTACAATTCGAGGATTAAATCGCTAATGCCGCATCAAGGTTGAGCAAAGCAAAAACCAATAGATGCGCTGAATGTTAATGTGATGAACAAGCGAACGAAGAGCAAGCGCAGTTAATAACTACTTACCTGATTTTCGCGGACAACTTCGTTTTTCCATCGTCGCGATCGTGATTTTCCATCGTGAATCCTCGCTTCTACGGTCGTGGCCTTGACGTGTCTTGATACGACGTACATAAGCTTACGTTGACGTGCACTATGTGTACACAATTGCACACAGATCACGAGGACATGACGTCTTGTTGGAGCATGAATGCACAGAGCGTCTATGTGTACGTGGATCAACAAAAATTGCTCATAGCGCAATGCAGAAACCAAATTCCAACTACTTCGATGAATCATCTGCAATTAAACGTAATTAAGCGTGTTACGGAAGATCATAAAATCATAAGTGTAACTATTAAATATACAAATTAATAAGAAACTGATGGCTGAAGAAAATGTTCTTGTACAATCATTCAATAGTAAATAGCAATTATTTGTTTAAAAACTGTATTAAAATTGAGCAAGTGATTCGTATTCAAAGATGTTACTTTGAACTAATAATAATAGCCTTTTCATAAGTTTAGAAGAACTGTTTTATCTCATTTGTGTCTTAAAGATTAAATGGCGTAAAGATAAAAAAGTTTTCCAGTATATTTTTCAATTACAAATTTTGTTCAAAAATTATGATGTTACTTATTTTACTCTTTTGGATGCCACTATTCCATTACATATTTAATAATCTATTAAAATCCACGTTATCATATTATAATTAAAAACTTTTATCTCTGATTAAAATATCCACTTTAGTAATTAAGGAAGTCGTAGAAAAAGACAGGAGAAAGATATTGAAAGATGTAGAGTTAAAATTTTGTTCTTAACATGAATGAGGTAATCAGGAGCGAAAAAGTAGCCGATGTAATTTGAGAATTTTCACTTACAATTTTGAAAATTACTTCAGTTTTATCGCCTCTAACACTGATACACTCCTGCGAAGTTATCACGAGATATATTAATGTACGTAATTGATATTATATCATTTTAACTATATATACAATTGGTAATATGTAGCAATTCAATTTTCTGTCTTTTCATGGAAATAAATTAATATAATTCAATTACGTTTTACAAGACAAATTTAAATTTCATAATGCGAAAAATCAAGTTTCCTTAGAGAGCCTAATTTTATAAGACATTTTTAAAATAATGTCAAAGTATAATGTCATAATTATGATCAAAGCGTAATATCATAATTAAAAGCACACAATCATAAATGTCATTCCTTGTTCTACATATACCAATCCAATCAAACCGTAGAATTAATTTGCAAATCCCAAATAAATCGTGCTAACGGCGATATTGTTTGATGATATGCCGAATTCACTTCGCAACGGTATAAGAGGTGTGGAATTCATGGAATTCGTGTATGTACAGAAAGACGCATTAAATAGAAGATCATATCATAAGCAATGTACACGTGCGAATCCTCCACGTGCATGCAAGCATAAGATACACAGAGCCAGTCTCGGGATTTCGGGTCGATAGCCGTGACGTCAATAGATCATACGAGAGAGGGTAAAGGAGAGGAAAACAGCGTACGCTGATAGAGAGATAAGAGAGAGGAGAAAAATAGAAAAGTTGTTTATAGAAAACCAGAGAGAGAACGAGAACGGAACAGGGTAGTTAAAAGGAAAGAGAGAAAGGGAGAAAGAGAGGGAAGATAGTACGCTGACAAGGAAGGAAAAAGAGAGACCATAGTTAAAAGAAGAGAGAAGAGAGAGAGAGAGAGAGAGAGAGAAACAGCCGAGGAGGCGAATGAAGTTCAAGGTTACCGCGCTTGAATGCACGTCCCACGCGGAAAATAGGAAAAGAGGGCGAATGTATTTTCCAACTCCGAGGAGAAACGTGAACATCGGCCGGATGGTGGGCAAACCAAGCGATTTCCGGGGAGGAAATCCGTGGACAAACTTTGCCTCCTGCAAGACTAACTACCACTGATCAGCTCTGGTCACTTTAATCGAAAGCCACTCACGGGATTCCCATTCATTCGTGTAATTGTGATTCGACTGAAAATGAAACGTGTAGGTTTTGTTAGATAGAAATCTCCTTGAATTCTTTCTAGTAAAAATCAGAAAAAGATGATCCAGTCGATGGAAGAGTCATGAATGAGATAAAGTTTCATTGATTTTAACGGTAAGATAGTCAATAATAGTAACATTGTAAGAATATATTATTATAATAAGGTTGTAAGAATATTACTCCAATGTATGAGAAATAACAGATATTTTGCAATTTAGATTCGTTACAGAAAAGATCATTTAAGACCATTAATTGTTATCAAGTGCTAATGTTGATAATTCAACAACACACGACATGAACGTCTATAACAAAGTACGAATCAGATGGTTAAATTCGAAGAAGTGATAAACAAGAATATTTTCTCATTTGATTCGCTTCTTTTCTGACAGTCGCGTGTTCAGTAAGCGTTTCGTAATGAGATGTCTTGATGACATTATTACAAGGCGATAATCCTCGCAACTAAGCGCAATGACGACGCGAATAACTTGCAGCACATTGCATCCTTCTAAATAAACACACGCATAAGTACATAGATATTATACGTGGATAGGTGCAAAACATCAAAATTTTGTATATTTGTAAAGAAGATTGAAATTGGTAGAACGATTTAAATACAAAGTGTTTCTTTTTGTTTATACGTGGATTTTAACTCTAATTAATTAATGAATTCACATTCAATACTTCTTGTCATATCACAAGATTTAAAGAGAGATTTAAGATTGTATTTATAATTTACAGAGACTCGATGCTCAAAGTAACCGACATGAAACGATCCACGATTACTATATATTATTGCTCTTCTTTCATGAATATAATGCAGTTGCACGAATCGCAAAAATTAACGCTTAAAAGGTTCAGTAATTTCACCGATAGTTCGTTAAAAGCGAACATAATTAATTGCATGCGATGAATTGAACTGAGGTCCAAAAATATCGGATTACACGTGAAAAACAACGAAGTGGAAAATAATGAAATCTTTCGAATAGAAAAAAAATGAAGAAAAAAAGAGAAGATATCTTTGGATAAGATATCTTAAAAAGAAGAAGGAGCAACATTAAAATTACAGGAAGTACAAATATTTTATCAAACTGGGAAAACAGTCCAATTTTTCTTTCGTGATTAAAAATTTTCACGTGGTTAGTATTGATGGTGGCATCTTTATGCGAAATGCGCGAAACCTTTCAAACATTGCGGTGGATCAAGGAAGCCGCAGGTTCGCTCGGGAGTGTAATTCTGAAAGGGGAATTGGACTAGATCCTTGTTCCATTGGCCTAGCAAACTTCAACTGGATCTCAACTTTGTTGTCTCGACTCTCCACTGTACTTGGACCGTAATCGTATTTGGGTTAGCATGCCCGGACGTGACCCGGACATGGCTACCTTGAACTTGCCACCCCCGGACAGCCCAACATCAACTCTCAAACTCTTTTCTATCGTGAGAAAAGGATAGGTAATATCTCTTCCAGGTAAAGAAGAAAAAAGAGAGGAACTGGAAATCTAAGAACATGGAAGAGAATTTACTTTTAAGTCGTTCCACTAAGCTTTGTCCTATCTTGCTTTTTATAACTCGTTAAAACTGAATCTCGAGAAAGAAATTTTCTAATATGATTAAGAACTATTTCGTAACCCCGTATTATATAATGAGTAAAAATTTTTAACTTTTAACGCAGAGAAAATATTGATAGATGTAAGTAATATTTATTACTTGTCATTTAATGGAAACACGTTTGAAGTTACTTGCAGAAATTACTTCACTAATTGTTGAACTTATTTATTTTTTATATACATAAGCAACTTCTATTTTTGAACATACACGTTTACTTATACTTTTTACAATTAGATAATATATAAGACAAATTAATTTTCTATTGAGTCGAAAATTATCTAATAATAGGCAATCTTTCGACCTTAAACAGTGACCCGGCCTCGACTCAGTTTCCAACAAACACAACTTCTCAGATCTCATAATCAATGCTAATAAATAATAATCAAATTAAAACGTAATGATTTAGTGCAAAAAATTTCTTAAGCAATTGTAACTACAGTAGTCTGATATTAGTGTTACATTTTGGATTATTGATTAGACTAAATATTTACAAATTAAACAGTTTTCATTACTCATAACTTAAACAATCTATTTATTCAATTATAATTAAACTTTCTTTTTACCTTTAATGTATAAAGTTCTGCTTTTGACTGTTTTAATTCAAAGTGAAATCATTAAAGTAATGTTCATCTCTATGTTGCATATTAGATAGCTCTGCTTGGAGATCAACTTTTTTCCGAGCCTTAGGGCGAGTAAGACAGTCATGGGCGACCTCGAGCAAGTGTTAGCTCCAACTACGTATAACGGGTTGCCCGTGACCGGGGAGGACCTTGGCCATGGATGTACGCCAGGTGTCGTGACACAGGCGTCGCGAGGCGCATGTTTATTTCTTTCATGACTCCCTTTTCTTAAAGTCTAAAAAATAATAAAAAAACATGTATTAGTATAATTACCCTTTCGTAAAAATTTCTAAAAATTTATTCATCTTTTTAATTTCATAACTGTTACTGAAAAAAAAATTCTCCAAATAATAATATGTATATATATAAAACATACAGCAAATATGTTTCTTTCAAAAAACATTCTTATCGACAACAAATTTATATAAGTTCATAAAAACTAGAGGACTAGAGGTTCATAAAACTTTCAAGCAGTAAATGCATTGTAAAATATATTCTACGACATAGACATAAGGTTATATCAGAAAAGAGATCATCTAAGAATACTTCACTGCCTTGCATTATAAGAGATTTATCAGAAATATTTAAACATTTAAATCTTTTTTTCTATGATCTTTACTGAGATAAAGATTGACATAATGTTTCTTTTTCTTTACAAATTATCATAAAAACTAGCAAATATATTAGATAAAAAAAGATATAAAAAATATATTCAAATATCAATTTATGCGTTCATTCCTTTTATATCTTAAATGGTTGCAATTTTTGTATTAATCAGTAATCAATAACTCTCGGTGATTACAGTTCTAAATTCACGACACAATGTAGAATGTAGAAAATGCTTTAGCGGGATAGGCGTTAATAGTACAGCTTACCCTGAAACAATCGTCGACGACCTTGCATCAGTCTCAACCGGCAACTTACGACTAGTGATGGAATCGATATTCTCGTAATTTCATATTTTGATCCTATAAAATTAATTGAAACAAATGTAACATAAGTCTTAAAATAATCTTTCCTAATAACCAACATTACTTCTTTTATATATTTGTTCTATTACGAATTCGATTTCTTATTGGAAGTATATCCTATTACACTATTTGCAATATATCGATCGACTATACGATTAACATATATCAATCGACATTTGAATACTTCATTCATAACCTATATAATAATCAAACAATTTCATTCATAAAAAATGTCAACCTCGTTAAAAATACATATACATTACAAATGCATAATACGTTTAATCGTCGAGATATTCAAGCCAACTTTTATTCTAAAAAAATATTTAATGATATATGTCAAAAAATTGCATTTCAGTTCATGCCCATCGCTACTTATAACGGTTTGCCCGTGACCAGCGAAGACCTTGGCAATGACTTGCGCGACACGTTGCGACGCACGACAAGCCGGCTGGCAGCGCGCATGCGTCGATTGCGCGCGCATCTCGCTCGATGCATTCGGAGGTCGCATATCCCGTGCACACCGACGACAGCAACCTTGACCTTATACCTCAGCCCGCTGGCCAACGAGGTCCATCCACTCTTGATCGGTTGAAGGTCACCAGCGCCGTGGCTAGGAAGCCGGGACGAGAAGAGGAAGACAAGCTGATGGTAACGACGATAGAGAGTAAGAGAGGACCTAACAAAATCCAGTCGCTCGATCTCCCTCGAGGACGCGTTAACGATTCTCAATTACCGCGCGTCAGCCCTTGTCTCGCTGCATCTATCCTCATCATCATAGCTTCTCTATCTTTTTCACCTATATCTCGATCTCGCAAACGTCTGTCTGGTTCATTCTGATCCGTATCTTTGCAATACGTACTTTTACTATCAATCATCACATCTTTTCAGTTCGACGTTATTCATTCGATTACTGGTTTTTTATTTAATGGTTCAAGGTTACACGTGGAAGTAACAATATAGATTCCAACAAACAAAGGGAAGATTCTAACATACAGCCTTTCAAAAGGACGAATACGTGAATAATATTATTGCAATATAGAAAAGGGGAAGTTTTGTCTGAACTGCTGTCAATTAAAATTACGATTGAATGTATTTTAATTAACTGCCCAAATAAATAACAATAGTGCAATAAATTGAATGAGATTTCTATCTGATACATTTAACGAATTAACTAATGACGCTGTATAGTCGGTAGAAGAGAAAATGAACTATTCAATGTATTCGTAAAAAGATTACAAAGGCTTAAGATTTCTACATATCTGGCGTCACATACAACGGAAATAAAATGCTTGTCTCGCAAACGATTCTCGTACAGATTAGGAACGGTAGAAAGTCGAGGTCGCCCTTGACGTAAGCGCCAACCGCGTAAAGATATACAGACGCATCGACAACCTTTCATAAAAGAGCCTAAGCCAGAAAACTTGACCGACTAACATGTTACTGAAAAAGATCACTGTAAACAAGAAAAATATTTTATCTGAAATGGATTTTTAAAAAATGAATATAGTTATCACACAATTACCATAATAAATAATCAAAAAGTACATTTCATCAAATATGCTTGTCATACGTTACAGAATAGTCTGTTTCTCAATTAGACGAGTATTTCTGGCGCAATTTCTCGATCATAACTTAACTCCAGTTGGAAACCATCGGATTAGTTCAAGGTTTCAGAATTTACGAAGTTCAACTTTTAGATCCGATGCCATTCAATAAAAGAAATCAATAACCTAACTGTATTTAGAATATTGTTTCATAGTACAAACAAATAATTTTCGTTTATATACTCTATACTTGTTTACATGCTTGTATTTTTTATAACTAACCTATATGTCAAAGCGAAATTAACATGTATGATATAAGATATTATACGAAAAAAATACGGAACATATATACATATTCATTTCAGGATAAACTTCACAATAAAAATATACTTACTGATGACTTGGAAAAAAAACAATTGGAAACATTTCAATTGAAAATCATCAATTGATTGGTGGCACACCGTTAAGATTTACGAATATCGTTACAACGCCTACAAGTGTTTGGCGCCTAATACAAACTTGGCACTAGGCAAATTGGAGCAAGTGGATATTGTCACGTCGGAAATTTATCGGCGCGTCCTTTAAAATTGATCTGATCACAACTTTCCTAGGAGATAACGAAAATAAATAGACATTAACGAACGTAAGAAAAACTGCTATCATTTGAAATTTACATTAAAGGCAGCTCCGCTTTAACATCAATAAGACATGTTTTAAGAAAATTCCAACGTCGCAATTTACAGTAATAAAATAGTATGTTGAAAAATTCTTTTACAAAAATCTAAGAATATATAATCAAAATCTATTGACTTTCAATGGACTTGCTGCTATATACCAAGAATATTGCATTTCATCGTATTATGAAATCTACGTGTCACCAGCTTGGCCTTGATATCGACCGCTGCAAAGGATCACCTTTGCGTAGTTACATCATTGTTGATATTTCCTGCCAAAGGAATTTTTAATAATAAGAAATTTTCGAACGACAAGTAAATCAATAATAAGAAAAAGACGTGACAGGAAACATACATGTATTTACATATATATATTTTTAGAAACCACATCAATGATGAAGTCGGAAGGCGATGATGTGATTTTTGGCAATGAGCCAAAAAAACTTTCATCGACGCCACTTTCATTGTAATGGCGTCAAATGATCTTTCTAAATGCCATCGGCCTTGCCCTTGACATCGACCGCGGCGTTCCGACACTACGCAGCCACAATTGCATCAGAATGTTCGATGCATGGAATACACTCAAAAAGAATGCCGTTAACAGTAGAAGCACAGAAGAGGAGAGGAAGTGTAATACTAGGTTGATCATAGTGGGACTTTGAAGATCATGGGAGACTTTATTGGAGACGTATTGGACAAGATAGTGGAATTCATCTACATTCTGTATCATTTAACTTTATATCACTTTATGAATCATATTAGGTTCTCTCATTTCGGTGTGAACGTTTGTATTCCTTTGCTTTCTCTTTTTTATTTTAGATAAGATAATTAAATATATATATATTGATAAACATAAAATTTTTTCTCAATTTGCAAATCTTAATTATTTATTTAATTGTATAAGTGTAAATAAATATAAATACACAATATATATTGTGACGCTTGAGTTGCCTACGTCACTGCGCGTCATCACGCGTGCTTCTTATTTTTCAATCTCAATCGTATAAATTCTAATTCCAATCGTATCAATTTCTAATTATAATCGTTCTAATTTTCCGGCCGGCAATCAGGATGAGGATAAGAGGATAATCGAGTCCCTGCAATGTTCGTTCTTAATATATATTAATTCCAAAAATACAAAATCATAAGCCATCAATGAGTGTAGCTTACCTGCGAATCTGTAACGATCGCCAGGTTAAGCAACCACCGTGAGGACTCGCCGACCTAGGATGGGTGACCGTTTCCATACCCAGCTTTTAAAATAGAGAAAGACTCCTAACAACCAAGAAAGCCCATTCTGGGGTTTTTTAGGGGTTGGCCACCATCAGTAGCCACATTGGATGAGTCTGGTGGCTATTCCGAGACGAAACGCACTTTTCTCATAATCATAATCATGATCCCAAAACTGTCGCGTTCCCATAGCGTCATAAGTTTTAGTATTTTTATAAAAATAACAGAGGCTTCCCTTGGGGGAACGTGATAATATACAAAACTGGTTTAATGATAAAAATGCTGTGTAAATTATACACACACAATATACACACAATGTGCTATTTACATTTGTATGCAAATTAACGTTTTCTCACATTTTTATTGCATTGCATGAAAAATTTAGGATTACGAGATATTTAAAGATCACCATCATTTTATGCATAAATAAAATAATTCGTTAATGCCAAATTAATTTTATTATTTTTAATTTAAAATAAATTATTTTTTCTTTTCAGTTTTAGATTTCCTTCGTGATGATTTACCACCATGATTTTTCTTTTTACGTCCTTTAGTTTTTTCCTTCGCTTTCGCCGCACGTAAATCTTTCTTCATTCTTGGATCAACTAGTTTATAACGTCCTTTAACACCAGGTGGTCTTACTGCTTTCTTCTGTGTCATGTGTTTTTTCATAACTACATAAGTAACATCTTTTTTCGGTTCTTTATGGGCTTTTTTATACAGCCTGCAGGAAGAATTATAATTATATATTATATATCATACAGAAATATAATTGTTGTAATTAAGAACTTGTACTTACGCTTGTACTTGTTTCGCTTTTTCTCTATCACTAATATCAGTATTATCCATTATTGCTTCTACCTTTTTCTTTGCTTTTTCTAATTTACGTATTGCTCTTCGCTTTTTCCTTGATTTTGCCTCTATTACCTTCTTGATTGGTCTAACATTTAAATCCTCAATACGTTTTTTGTATTCATCAACAAACTCTTTAGGTACTGGCATTACATTTTTCATGTGTTTTTCTTCATCTTGTACAAACCAATCTGGTAATTTTTCATCATTAAACGCATATCTATTCCAGGCTGAATCTATTAAATCCCTTCGCGTTTTTTTACTTTGAATTAACAATGATCCTAATGCTAAATCTTCTTCTGATAAACGTTTTCTTTTCTTCGATTTTATATCTGCATATTATAAATATAGTTACATTATGCTTCGTGCTTATTACATTAATTAATCATTTTATATTTAAACAATATACTCACTTATTGCTTGAGAATTATCTTTGTCGCCAATTTTGTCTTTTTTAGATTTTGTTAAAACCATTTTGTCCACATCATAATCGGAGTCCGTGTCATCACTATTATAATGGTTGTTGTCCTTTATATCTTTTTGTTTCTTTCTTTCTATATTCTTAGATTTTTCTATTTCATTTTCTTTATTACTGTCTATAGAATCGTTTTGTCCTATTATACGACCGCCTTTCTTTTTATATTCTTCAACCATTTTATCTAATTCAAAATCTTCATCCTTTTCATCTTCTAAATTTTTAAAAATATCCTTCTCAAACCATAGTTCTGCTTTATGAATTCTTTTAGTTTTCTTATCCCTATAATCTAAATCAGTTAATAAAGGATTTTCTGAATCTTCATCAATAATTTTTCTCCTTTTATTGATATTTTTTGTATCTTCATTATCAGACTCATTTAAACCTAAAATTCCATTACATGAAAATATTGTAAATTTTTATAAATATAAAAAGAAATTATATAATTACCTAAACCCGACTTATTACTATCTATATCATTATCTGAAGCATCACTTGAATCTTCTGAATCACTGTCTTCTGTTTTATAATATAAACCTGAGCTATCTAAATGTCCCCCATCCTTCTTAAATGTAACCTTTTTTGGTTTTCTTCGTTCTGCATCTGAATCTACATCACTTTCTGCTATTATATCAGGTTTTTGATCTATTACATTTTCTAACTGTTGATGTGTTTTAATTTCTTTTAAACTAAACATATTATCTCCTTCCAGTATAGGACCTTCGTTTCCTTTGTGGATCATTTTTAAATTGAGCCGTTCATTTAATTTTTGTCTTTCTTTGTTAGCTTTTTTTCTCTTTCGTTTAAGCTCTCTAACTTCTTCTGCTTTAAGTTCTTCAATTTGTTTTCTAATTTGTTTATCTTCTAAATCTTCTAGTTCTTCTTGAGTCACAGATGGTACTTCTGTTTCCTTATCAGGCAAATTTTCTCCATTTTTGTCTGGTTCATTTTCTTTTAAAGATTCTTTTACTACTTTCCACCAATTAATTAAATTTCGTAAATCTTTTTTACCTAATACTTTAATATCCTTGCAACATTCTTTAATTTCCTTAGTCGTTTTCTCATGATTTATTATTGTTTCATCATCAAAAACAATTTCA